ATGAGAACTTACACATCACGCCTGTCTGTCCACTTCCTGTCTGGGGCCATTGCTCATGTTGCCGCTGAGAATATGAATGGTCAGTAGGTGGCAGCAGACTCCCATTTTACTGGGCGTGTTGGGCGAGTTCCTGTTAACCAGACTGTGTAACAGCAACTGATAGTTACCATATTTACTTTGTGCAGTGGAAATACATTGAAGAAAGGAAAAATAAAAGTTGCTTGCCTACCACTTCTAAATTTTCTTGAAGAATATTGATGATTTTTTCTTTTGATGTTTCTTTGAAAGACCGAGATCTACGTCTGTTGTCTTACTGCTCGAGCGCCATAACAGCCAGGTCCAGACGGGCGAAAGCCGGAGGCTGGAACTCGGTCCTGTCCTTGCACATGCGTGGCGGCGACCTAGCGCTTGAACTAGCACCCGCCATTTCTCATGGTGTGCACTGTCAGGAAGCCGGAGTGGGGAGCTGCAGAGGAGCGTTGGACCTTCGGCCTTCCTATCTGGGCTGTTCTGCTTCTGATCAGATTTCCTGTTGATGTGTCCTAGGAGGCGGTGGTCCTCCACCACTTCTGGGGAATCCAAGACCCTGACTGTTACGGGCTTGCCTGAGATGGCAACGTGCCGCCCACCGCTCCCTCGGCTCAGTATGGTGGGCGGTGACCTGTTTCCTGGCCCTGCTCGAGCCACTGGAGGCGTCGGGAAGGCAGGCACTCGTCCTGAGTCAGCTCTCAGAGGTCTGCCACGCAGGAGCCCCCTGGTGACCTTTGCAGGACGGTGTGAGCCCACCGCTTTGCTCCCTGCCTGTCCTGCTTGGGCAGTGGAGTTCTTTTTCATAGAAGCTATGGTGATGAGTTTAGTGTCTGCTAGCCAATAGAAGGTTCGGGGCGCCTCAGTTTTTTCAGCGTGTGAGATTTCCTGTCCTTGGAGCTTGGGAAGCATTGCTTTCAGGTTTGGCGCAGTGGTTTCGCTGATCCTGCCGGCAGCTCTGGGCCCCACGGTCTCGCTCTGCCACCTGAGGGAGCCTGTCCATATAGCCTTGCCCTGCTCCACACAGCCTGCCCGAGCCTCGCCCTCAGCTGGGGTTAGAAGCAGTGCCAGTCAGACAAGATTTAAATGACAGAAGGGATCTAGAGTTGTCTGCTTGTCTACGGGTCTGTCCAACTCAGCACGCATTGTGGGAGCAGACAGGCTGGTCAGATGCCGAGCGGGCACTGCTCGGAGGCCCTTGGTCCTGCTCCACAGCTGGCTGGCATCTCGACACTGGCTGTGGTCATGTGACAGTATTTATGGTAAACCCAGCAGGCTGTGGCATCTGACACCTCGTTTAGGAAGGATCACCGCACTCCGGGAATGAATGAATTCAGTGTGGAGTTGGGCAGCCTTTTAGTGGCAGGGTCAGAGGCCGTGTGGCGGGGCTGGGGCTGAGGGGCCCTGGCCCAGGGAGGAGACTCCGGGCGACTGGTGCTTTCAGGAACCACAGTGCTTTAACTCCAAAGGAGCACTTCACTGAAGTTGGTCATCCCGAAATCTGTTTCCTTAGAGCTGTCCCAGTCTGGTTCTGCCTCTGGTGTACTGTCCAGCCTGAAGGTCATGTGCGGGGTCCCTCCTGGGAATGCAGGGCCGACCAGCGTGCGTCAGGCAGATGCGTGTGAAGAGCTGTCTGCGGTGTGTCCGTAAGGAAAGGAGTGATGTGTTGGCTGTGGATGAGTTGCATCTCTGGTGTCTTGTAATTTCCTTTCAGTATTGACTGTTTTTCTCACATGTCCTTACCCTACATATAGTTGTTAGGCTTTTTCCTCCCTGAGGCTTGCTTCAGATCTCTTGTCTCAGCTTTCTAAGGAAGCAGCTTGTGGATTGCGGAGGTAGGCTGCGGGGCCAGGCGGGCCGGAGCGCTGCGGGGCCAGGCGGGCCGGAGGGGCCAGGCAGGCCGGAGGAGTGCAGCCGGGCCAGGCCGGCCTCCTGCAGCAGCGCAGCCTCACTGGGAGCAGTGGGCTGTTCCGGTGGCTGGGCCGCAGCAGCTCCTGCCTGCTCACACCGTCTCTACTTGGGGAGCGGTGGTCTCCCCGCTTCTGAGGCCCTAGCGCAGTGTTACTCTGTGTCCAGGATCAGGTGCTTACAGGCTGGAGCCTTCACAAAGATACCAGCCAGTGCCTAATTCAGTGCCATCCTCGTACACTGCGTTTGGCGAGGAGCAGGGAGAAGCAGCAGGGCAGCCTTGAGGAGCCATCCCGGAACGCCCTGCTCTCAAGCGGCGGCCTTTGGAAAAGGCGGGTGCAGTGTGCCGGTTTTCAGACACTTTCTCAGGCACTTCTCTTCTTGGCCACTAGGTGGGGGCAGTGTCAACACTTTACATTTCAGGAGGAAAGTCTAATTGGGAACTTTTTTGGTCAGGCCAGTGCATAGAATTCTGATTGTGTACCTGACAGGTGTGTATTTTGATGTAGCAGTTTAGAATTTTCCAGAACAGCTTCTGAGCTGCTCGATCCGCTGCATTTGGTGCCCTTTCCTTGTGAATAGTTGCAGTGAAGGCCAAGCTGACCGAGTGCCGTTTGTCTGCAGCCCGCCCTGTGTTACATGGGTAAGGACAGTGGTCCTGTATGGAGACACACATCCGGCTCCACCGAGTCCAGCCCTTCCCAGACTGCCTGCCCTCGAGGACCTGGCTGCCCCCCTAGGGTCAGCTGAGCCTGCTGTGTGGGCCAGCCTTTGGCCAGCTCCGTGCTGCAGGGGTGTGAGTGCTGCCGTGCGGCCGCCTGCTGCTGCTCATTGTGTGTAAAGAGGTAGGAGAGTTAGGACAACCTGGTAAGCCTGTTCGGGGTTCAAGCTGGTGCCCAGGGGCCCTTTGAGAAAGGTGCTCCCAGTGAACTGCTTTCTCTTGCTTCCACTTTCCCATCTGGCTTAGGTCCTGGCTTCTTTTTCCCACTCCTGCGGGCTCTCCACACTCATAGGCAATTGGTGTTTTTAAGCAACTTTATAATAATACGACTTAAGCAGTTGTACTCAAAGTGTATTTTGATAAAAGACTTGTCGCCACCATGGCCATAATTCCAAGAATTCCGTCACATCCAGACATGAGCTGGTGTGTGCAGCTGGCATCCTTGGCCGAGGCTCCAGTGTGTGTCACTCGTGCTTGTGTCCCGATGTGCGTAGTACACGTGGGGCAAGTCAGTAGCTGAGTTGAACAGAATTTTAAGGGATATTTTGGGCAAGAATTTATGTTTTCCTTGAATTTTGCCATCAGTTCAGAGTTGCCCAGGCTCTAGCCATCTAAACTGAACACTGCCTCTGCTGTGATGGCGAGCAGGGCCCGCTGCTGCTGCAGGGAGACCCCTGTCCCTTGCGTCCCTGGGCCCTGTGGCCGCAGCTGGAGGGGTGTCTAGTCGCGGCCTCTGCCTGCCATGCCCCGCCGCTTTCCTTCTCAGTTCCCCAGAGTGAGTGCTGTTTACTGGTTTTTGTTGGTTTGTAACTTTGTTTTCCTTTGCAGTCCTCTTGCTGGGGTTTTGAGGGGCATGAGTAAAGTGCGTGTTCCTGATTCTGCTTGTTAAGGACCCCCCGCCGTGCCCTTCCCCTGGGCCTCTGTCACTGCAGTGGTCCAGCTAGTCCTGCCCGGCCCGTGGCCTGGCCCTCGCTTGTGCCTTTCTTTTTAAAATAACCTCCCGTGCCAGGGGTCACTTGTTCTTGACAACCCAAACCAGAAGGCTTCTGTTTTGTTTTTTAAAGATTTATTTATTTTTATTGGGAAGCCGGATTTACAGCAAGAAGGAGAGACAGAGACCTTTATCTTCCGGTTCATCTTGCAGCGGCTGGAGCTGAGCCAATCTGAAGCTAGGAGCCAGGAGCTCTTCCAGGTCCTCCACGTGGGTGCAGAGTCCCAAGGCTTTGGGCCGTCCTCGACTGCTTTCCCAGGCCACAGGCAGGAAGTGGGGCAGCCGGGACATGAACCAGTGCCCATATGGGATCCCAGCGGTCAAGGCGAGGATTTAGTCACTGAGCCATCACACCGGGCCCACTTGCACCTTTTGTAACATTCTGGAGCCCACACAGTGTGGTTCAAGTTTGGCGAACGCGACCCTCAGGACAGCCTGAATTCTGTGTCTCGGATCTCCTCATTCCATCTGCTCTGAGCTGCACAGGAGCACGCTCTGCTGCCCGCTGCGGATGGGCAGTTTTGCCTCCCTGCAGTGCCACACCAGGAGCTGGGGCTGGGTTGGCGCTGGGTTGACACTGGCACGTCTCTTAGGCTCCTCTTTGGCGACCTAGCTGTGTTTGTCCTATGACGGTCCTTCACTGCTGTCTGTCAGTGTGGTCGTGTCTTCCTTAGCAGAACTCAGTAGTGTTCTCAGCTGCGTCTCCATCTGGTTTTGGGGGTTAGTGCTGTGTTAGTGTTGGTGATTCACTGTGAAAACAAGCAGCCGTTCTGTCACAGAAGCGGTCACGTTGCAGACGCTCGCGTTGTCAGTACCACGGGAGCCGCACGACCACGCCGTGGATATGCGCCATGTTCAGTGTTTTCTGAAATGTCTTCTTTGCATGTTAGATATTGAACAGTGGGCATCTTACTCAAGCTAGCCTGGGCTTGTTCCAGGCCGTGTTATAAAAGACTTAAACCTGTGCGTGAGATTACCCGTGAGCACCAGGGTAGACGAGGGTTTGGACTGTGTGGTGGCTGGAGATGAGAGCAGTGCGAAGGGCAGCGGCCGTGGGCTCGACGGCCACTGAGCCGCCCTGCCTGGTGTCCAGCCACGCACCGTGGGCTGCTAGTCCCGAAGGATCACAAGTCCCAAGTTTGCTAAAGTTGTAATTCCTTACCTGCCACTTGCTCCTCTGAAATACTTAAAAAAATAATAGAGAGAGAATACTTTGGAAAATTTAATTTTTACTGGCTTCTGTGTCTACAGAAATAACCACAAAGAAAGGTCTACACAAATGCCCAAGTGTAGGTTTGTTAGGTTGCTCACTGCCATGCAGCCGAGTTAATTCTCTGCTTATTTTCCATGCAGGTGCAGGACCGCGGGAGCACATGTGGACGAGTCACTGTTCCCTGCACCCAACACCACGGAGCACTTGCCCAGCCTCAAGAGGAAGGTGCGTGGCGCTGGCACTCCACGCCATGGCGCTGGCACTCCGCGCCGTGGTTCTGGCACTCTGCGCCGTGGCGCTGGCACTCCGCCCCGTGGCGCTGGCACTCCGCCCCGTGGCGCTGGCACTCCACACCGTGGTGTTGGCAGTCCGCGCCGTGGTTCTGGCACTCTGCGGTGTGGTGCTGGCACTCCGCCCCGTGGCGCTGGCACTCCGCCCCGTGGCGCTGGCACTCCACGCCGTGGCGCTGGCAGTCTGTGGTGTGGTGCTGGCACTCCGCCCCGTGGCGCTGGCACTCCACGCCGTGGCGCTGGCAGTCTGCGGTGTGGTGCTGGCACTCCGCCCCGTGGCGCTGGCATTCTGCGCCGTGGCAGTTACGAATTGGCTCCTATTTTCTGTTCCTGAGAACAAAACTTGTAGAAATATATTTAAGAGTTGTATTAAGTTTGATATTGGTAAGGTTCATTTTAAATAACCTTTTTTGATAAATTATAGACATTTGCTCATAGGAATGCGTTGATATAATTGGTAAGGCATGGCGGAAGTACGTGTGGCTGGTGCGCAGGGCTGTGGTGACCTGTGTCCGGCCTGCTGTGTGCAGTGAGAACCCTGCTGCTCCCTGGCTCGGTCACCCAGGCGCTGCAGGCTGAGCTGCCCAGCTGCGGAGAGTCTGGCTGCAAAAGGTAAAAGGTGGTTAACTTATTGCTTTGATCTAAGCTCTTATGCACATTTTAGGCTTTTTAAAGATTTATGTTTATTTGAAAAATAGAAATAGAGAAGGAGAGACAGAAAAATCTTCCATCTGTTGATTTCCTCTCCCAAATGATCGTAATGGCCAGAGCTGGACCAATCTGAACTCAGGAGCCAGGAGCTTCCTCTGGGTCCCCCACGCGGGTGCAGGGTCCCAAGGCTTTGGGCCGTCCTCAGCTGCTTTTCCAGGCTACAAGCCGGGAGCTGGGTGGGAAGTGGGGCTGCTGGGATTAGAACCAGCGCCCATATGGAATCCTATATAGAGTGTGCAAGGTGAGAACTTAAGCTGCTAGGCTACTGCACTGGGCCCAATTTATTTTATTTTTATTGGACAGGCAGATATACAGAGAGAAAGAGAGACGGAGAAAGATCTTCCATCCACTGATTCTCTCCCCAAGTGGTTGCAACGGCCGGAACTGAGCCGGTCCAAACCCAGGAATTTCTTCTGGGTCTCCCTCGTGGGTGCAGGGTCCTTAGGCCTTGGGCCATCCTGTGCTGCTTTCCCATGCCTTAAGCTGGGAGTCGGATGGCAAGTGGAGCTACCAGGGCACAAACCAGTGCCTGTATGAGATCCTGACACATGCAAGATGAGGATTTAACCATTAGGCTGTTGCGCTGGGCCCACTTCTACACTACTCTGTCTTCCTGTGAGAATCTTGGCAGAAATCTCACTGAACTGAATTAGGTGGATTAAACTACACGTTTGCTGTGCATGATCTGAGGATCAGTGCGAGGCTCTGTTCGCGGTCAGAAGACAGTGACTGGTTCCACTCTTTCTGCTTTTGTTTGTTTTTGGTTATTCAAGCATTGAATTGACATTTTCTGATGTTCTGGGATCACTGGTGACTGGACAGTGTAAGCTTCTTGTGTGTTCTGAAGGGCCTTATCTTCGACACAGTTTGAAATGTATGTAAACAAGAGCAAAGCACCTGGTAGCTAGAGTTGCCTAATGGTGAGCCGGGGCGGGCTGAGTGCTCAGGGTGGGCTGAGCAAGCCAGGGTGGGCTGAGGGAGCCAGGGTGGGCTGAGTGCTCAGGGTAGGCTGAGCAAGCGGGATGGGCTGAGCGAGCCGGGGTGGGCTGAGTGCTCAGGGTGGGCTGAGCGAGCAGGGGTGGGCTGAGGGAGCCAAGGTGGGCTGAGGGAGCCAGGGTGGGCTGAGTGAGCCGGGGTGGGCTGAGCGAGCCAGGGTGGGCTGAGCGAGTGGGATGGGCTGAGCGAGCTGAGGCGGGCTGAGCGAACGGGGGCGGGCTGAGCAAGCCGGGGTGGGCTGAGCGAGCCAGGGTGGGCTGAGCAAGCGGGATGGGCTGAGTGAGCTGGGGCGGGCTGAGCGAGCGGGATGGGCTGAGTGAGCTGGGGCGGGCTGAGCGAGCGGGGTGGGCTGAGCGAGCCGGGGTGGGCTGAGCAAGCCAGGGTGGGCTGAGTGCTCAGGCCGCCTTCCCTGCACCTGTATGGACTGTTGCCCGTGTTTGAAATGCCTTGTAATAGAAAGTGGAGCAGAGCTGGGGAAGTCTGGCTTCTGTTTGCTCCTCCTCATGTGCGAGTTCTCACTGCTCTGCTTTGCCTAAAGCAGTGCTGGGTGGGGCAAGGCAAGGACACGCTCTAAGCGAGTCCCACTGTGAGCGTCTTCTTAGCGCAGTGAGCATGCTTGGGTTTTTGCTTGATGTTACTCAGCTACTACTCATTCCGTGTGCCTTGCCCTGGGCCTGCTGTGTCCTGGGCCCGGGAACATGGACAGGCAGTCGGGCCACCTGCCCCGCAGCACTGCTGCCCATCTACCAGGGTGGGGGGTGCTGTGAGAGACCTAACCGAGATAGTTGTGTCCAGCCCCCATCACATCACGGGTGCGACCACTGCCCCCATCACATTCATCTGCAGTGGGCTGGCCCAGGGACGGACCAGCTTCCGTCCCGACCTTGGTTTCAGACCACAGCAAGAAGGGAGTTCAGCAGAGCCCTGCCTCTGGCGTGATGAGCTGAAGCATCGTGGTCCATGCTTGTTTCATTTGAGCCGTGTGGTAGGGCAAAGGAGGCCTCTTGTCCTGGTCGCTGTTAAACCTCCGGCACGTGCGCTCTCGAGTGGCCTGCCAGGCTCTGCATGCAGGGTGGGGAGTGCGCTCTCGAGCGGCCTGCCAGGCTCTGCATGCAGGGTGGGGAGTGCGCTCTCGAGCGGCCTGCCAGGCTCTGCATGCAGGGTGGGGATGGGGAGACAGTTCACTTTTGCCCATGTCGTGTGGTGATGTTGCTGTCGACTCTCTTTGTCGTGTTTTGCAGTGTGCGTAAATGTTCCTGCATTCATACCCTGTCAGTTTTGCTGAGTACTTTTTTGTGACGTAATTTTCCGGGTTAGGTGTCTGGAAATGAGATTGCTGGGCTGGAACATGGCTCGTACTTTTTACAATTGTTTCCTGCCATTCCCTACTAGAGTGAAAGTTCCACCGCGGCAGGGACCTTTCTGGGTTCTAAGAGCAGGGTTTGTCCAGGAGTGAGTGAGTGACGGGCTAGATCGTGAGCCAGGCATCGCTCAAATAAAGCCTGTAACAAAAGAAGTCAGACCAGGATCCATATGAGCCAGTATGGGACTTAGCCTCAACCTAGAACCGAGAGGTGGACAGCTGCATCCCCGTGCAGGGCTAGGTTAGAGAGAACTTGGCCATGGCGGAGAGTAACGCTGGTGCAGAGTCCAGTTTGTCTCTGGTGAGAGGTAGGTAGGGTGCCCCCGTGGGGTAGCCCAGTGAACGTGGGCAGCACCGTGAGTCTGTGTTCAAGGCGGTGGTGTCCACTTTGCTTGAGGACGTTCAGAATGTCAGGTTAGGCAGGAAGTGTCCCGTGGCTGTGGCACTGCAGCTTCCTGTGGAGTCCTGGGACACAGAGACAGTGAGACAGTGAAAGCAGGTCCTTCCTCTGGTGCTTACGTCAGAATTGCCTTTGTGTTCACTGCTGCGACTTCGAGCGCAAGCTGGTTTGACAGTAGTAAAACGTACCAGACTGCTTCTGGTAAGAATTGTCATGTTGAGATTCTGAAAGAGAAACAGTGTAATATAGAATCTTTTATTTGTTTAAATTACATTCGTTTATTTAAAAAAATAATTGCACGAAAAGAAATGCTGCACTTGACAATACAAGAAGGAAACTTTCAGTAAGTTTAATTGGTGTTATGGAAGATCAGAAGCACATGGGAAGATGCCTTCTCCCACGTTAAACACTTACAGTGCTTTTGTATTTTTTTGTACAGCGTAAATGTATGCAGCCCAAGGATTTTCTCCCCAGAACACCAGATAATGATAAAAGACTTCAAAAGAAATTTGACAGAATGGCTCAAGAGCTACAGAGGCAGAAAACTACTCAAGGTAAGCCACGGCATTGTGGAAGCCTGTGTGTGTCCGTGCGCGTGGCCGTGGCAGGCGTGGGACGTCTGCGCGCGTCTGAGGGCCGGGAAGGGGCACAAGATGTGCGTGGCTGCAGAAGCCGGCTCGATCATGCCTAATGCAAACACAGGACACGTTTGTTCAACACTTTTTTCTTTTTTAATCTGTATTACTATGTCAAATTCTGCAGTCTGTATTGTGACGCTGTTCAGGTAGAGCCATCAAGCTTTGTTGAAGCCTCTGACAGCATGACAGAAGGGATCAGACATTCAGCCTTCACTGAGCTGCCCTGTCCACCCTCCCTGGGTCAGACGGACGCCCCCATCCTGCTCTGTAACGCCCCGGTGTCCTACCAAGGATGAGGGTTGAGGACAAAATGCAGTAGTGACCGAGACTGACATCCTGGAACCTGTGTGATGCAACCCTTTGCCCGGCCTCAAGTCAATGCTGTACCTTCCTCTGCAACCTGTGCCCTTGTTACTTATACCAGACAATATGTTTGAAAACAATTGAACAAGAGGGAAGAAATAGATACAAAATCTCCTTTTTAGATTAGTGGAAATTGCTCTTTGAGTTTCTATTATTATAATTTGAAAGACAGGTCTTAGAAGGAGAGAGAGAGAGAGAGAGGTCTTTCTTCCTCTGATTCATTCCCCAGATGAATCAAAGCTGAGCTCATCTGAAGCTGAGAGCCAGAAGCCCTTTCCTCTGCGGATGCAGCGTCCCTAGGACCTGTGCCATCTTCCGCAGCTTTTCCATGTCCCAAGCAGAGAGCTGGGACATAAAGTGGTGCCTACGTGGGATAGTGCCGCCGTAGCGTAGAGGAGTAAGCTAGCTGCACCTTCATACTAGTCCCAGAGACTGCCTCTTGGAAATCATAAATGTGATACATTAATGACCATCGATGTGCGCCTATACACTAGTAGACTACAATGAATGTTGTTCAGGCCTGAAAGTTGCCAAGGAGATGGGACTGGATGATTATTGCCAAAATGCTAAACTTTGAGCATATGCAGTTAAGTTCTAGAAAAATGTACAAATATGTATCCACATACGACAAAAATCCATATTTTTTTTGGCACAGAGAACAGTCATAATCTTTGCTTCACACATAGACAGGCTCCTGAAACTAAGCAGAATCACTTTTTAGTGGTCAGAGCACATTTTGGCTCTGCAGTTTGGTAGTGTGGTTTGATTACAGATAAGTTATTTAACTCCTCTTTATTATGATCATCTTAAAAAAGTAATGTATTTATTTGCAAAGCAGAGAGAAGGACAAAGAGATCTTATGTATGTTGGTTCGCTCCTCAAATGGCTGGCATAAGTGGAAGGCCGGAGCGCAGAGCTCTGTCCAGGCCTCACACGGGAGTGGCGGTGGCCCGTCCACTTGCAGAGCGGCCAGGACGTGAATCGGCATCCCAGTATGGGATGGCATTGTTTCTAAGTGGTGGCTTAGCCGATGGCCCTTAGCAGTTACATTGCTTGCCACTAAGCTGGTGGTAAAATGTTCAAGGGGGATGAGGGAATGATGTTAAAAAAGGGAAACTACAAAGGTGAGGGGAGGATTTCTTGAAGCAAGTCACGTTGCTAAAGTATGGATGTGTTTTTGAGCTTAAAATTGAATTTATTTCTTTTCAGATAATATCCCTGTTCTGTTGTTTGAATCTACTGGTGTGCTCACATACAGTTCGACCGTTCAAACCTACAGTCACCATTCTGTGATGGAGAAGAGACTACAGGAAATGAAAGAGAAGAGAGAAAACCTTTCCCCGACTTGTGAGTGGTTACAGTCATGAATTAACTATGTTATCTAGGTCTTAGTTAATGTCTCCGAGTCTGAGTCATGCAGTAGGCTTTGTTGACATTTTATGGCAGCCATTGTGAATGCTTTCTTCTAGAAGATTCACACTGCAAAGCATATATTGATCGAATGGTGTTTTCCAGGTTTAAATTCCTACTGGTCGCAGCTCCTTTGTTGTTTCTAGCATCTTTGGCTATTTTTCCTTTTTAAAAATTAATCAGATTTTTGGGTAGGAAATTGCTTTAAAGTACATAACAGTCTACAGTCTGTATTGTGAAGCTGCTCAGATAGAACGATCAAGCAATGCATTTGTTTATGTTTTAAAATTTATTGTTTTTATTGGATAAGCAGATTTACAGAGAGAAGGAGAGACAGAGAGAAAGATTCTCCAACCGCTGGTTCACTCCCAGGTGGCCACAGTTGCTGGAGCTGAGCTGATCCAAAGCCAGGAGCTTCTTCTGGGTCTCTTAAGTGTGGGACATGTCGTGAGATGTTGGGCCACCCTGCACTGTTTTCTCAGGTCACAAGCAGGGAGCTGGATGGGAAGTGGAGCAGCTGGGACAATAAACCAGCACCCTATGGGATCCCAGCGCTTGTAAGGCGAGGTTTTGTCCTGAGTCGTTGCCCCAGGCCCATACCAGTTTACCTTCTCTTTAAAATTTTTCAGAACACATTCTTTTATACCTCACCTGTGTTTGTTATAAGGTTGTATACCTTCATCTACTGAAAATATTGAAGTTTTATGGAGTGAAATGTTGTGATTCTGTTTTAGCTTCCCAGAGGTTTGAGCAGTCTGATGATAAGCCATGTCACTCAGTGTGTGACATGCCGTTGAACATCTCGCAGAGTACTTTGCTTACAGGTAAAATTCACTGTTTTCTCTGATCTTGTGTGATTTTCTTATTTAGGGTTTTCTAATCGTTTCAGGGGAGTGAAGCTGGAGCTCATACAGTTATTGAGACCCTCTCGGAGCACATGTATCCCCTTCATGGTGGCTGGGTTTGAGCCTCAGCTGTGAGTGCAGCTGCGTGCTGATGCGATCTAAGAGGAAGCAAGGGATGGCTTGGCTGGCTGCGTCCGTGCCCCGCATTGGCAGCCTGCTTCTGTGGGGCTTGGCTTCTGCTGGGTGGTACACCAGTCAATGGATTTCCCGTTGGAGAAGAGTCAGAGCTAAGGAAAAAGGGTTTCCCACAGTGTGTAATAAACAAGGGTGTGTTCTTGAATGTGGTCAGTGGACTATAGAGAAGTTACTGATAATTCAGAAAATTTGGGAACAAGTAGAGGACTTCTAATTAGGAGCAGAAAGAACATCAGTGAGAAATGAAGTTTGGTGTTGAGCCCTTGCTTGACTTAGAGTAATCCCTGCATCCTTTGCTTTGCTTCGACTGCAGCAGTGTTTGTTGCCTAACCCACCGTAGGTCCTGAGCAGTGGTGATCCCAGACGACCTGTGCTTACTAAGCATGTTCCATGACAGGAATGACTTGAAACAGTGCAGGACAATAGCTTCTTGCCAATACATTCTTCTTGTTGCTTTTGTGTTGCAGTTCTTTGTCTATTTGCCTTAAGTAATTTAAATACTTTTAGTCCTTCTATTTTATGTTGGGTACGCATGTTTCCTAAAATTGGAAAGAAGTACCTAACCTTAGCTAACCTAACCTTTTTTTTTCTTTTGGTAAGATTTGTTTTGAAAGAACTGGGGACAGAGACTTCCATCCACTGGTTTACTTAGATATTTGAAATCTGTTTGCTGGTTGCTCCCCAAATGCTCACCACAGTTGGGACTGGGTCAGGCCAAAGCCGTGTGCCACGTTAGGGTCCCGAGTCCTGGTGCCATCCAGCCATGCTTTCCCAGGTGTGTTAAACAGTGAGCTGGAGAAGGTGGAACGGCAGAGAGTGAATCAGTGCCCTGATATGGTATGACTTAGGCAGTGGTTAGTGAACTTGGCAATTTATGGTCTCCTGAAGGTGCTTTCTCGAAGAAATTGCTATCTCCCTCCTCCTACCCTGTCCCCTAAACCAGCTTTCCTGGTTAAAAATCCTGCCTTCAGAGTGTCCTGAGGTGAAAACAAGGACCAGGGGTTGGTATTGTGGTTGTGTTCTGCAGTGGTGGGTGTCCATGTGGGTGTCAGTTTGATTTTTGGCAGCTCCACTTCTGATCCAGCTCCCTGCTAAAGCGCCTGGGATGTGCTGTGGAGGATGGACCACGTGCTTAGGGTCCTGGACCCACAGAGGCAACCCAGAGGAAACTCCTGGCTCTGCCTTGACCTGGCCTGTGGGGAGCGATGCGCCAGGAACCAACCCCACGTGTATGAGGGGCCGCGGCAAGATGGCGGCTGGCCCAGGGCCAGGAGGCGGGATTTGTCCTGCCAGCAGATAAACAGGAAGTCACAGGGATAGGCTGGTGATTATGTCAGTGCTACTGGCCTATCAGGTAGCGCCCAGTGGACCCACGGGGAGAAGTGATTGGTGGAGAACTGTATATAAGCAGCCCGCTTTCCGCAATAAACCTCTTTTCACTTGCCCCTTTTCGTTCGTCTCTCCTTTCTTGTTCACCTGTTCGTTCAGTGTGTGTGTACCGGTTGCGGTGGCGGTTCCAAGCCCTTGAGAGTCCTCGTCGTTTTAGTGTCGCCGCAGGAAGGCGACACTGGCCCATGCCAACCCTGAGCCATTGTGGCTACCTGAGCAGGGAACCAGCAAATCGGAAAGACATCTTCCTCTCTCTCCCTCTCCCTTCCTCTCTCTCCCTTCCTTCCTTTTCTCGTTCTCTCATGCTCTCTTTCATACTCTCATTCCTTTCTCATATTTTTCTTTCTTTCCTTCCTTCTTCCCTCACTCACTCCCTTTCTTCCTTCTCTCTCTCTCACGTTCCCACCTCCTCTCTCTCTCCCCCCAGGGTCTCTAATTCTGCCTTTCACATAAATAAGAGCCAGGTTGTGCTCACTGCTCTTCCTAAGGGCTATATTTAAAAAGGGTGATTTTATTGGCAAACTTTATAATAATGTAAACCGTTTTTAAGAAGTTAAACCCTTTATTAATATTTTCCAGGTGAATCCTTTGCTGGGGATTTACACTCATCCTTTGATGAAATTTGTGGAAATCAGAAGACTATATTGGGAGTACCTGCAAATGAAGTGAGAAGTGACCAGTGCATCGATTCATCTGAAGTGGAAACAAAGAGCATTCAGTTGTTAGCCTCCTCTGCTTGCACGGGTCACACGAGTCCTCTGAAACCTGTGAATAATCACTCAGAGAAAGAAAGAGACGGACCAGGAGAGCCTGCCGGCGGCGTAGCCAGCTCTGACGGAAAGCAAGCTGAAGGTACATCTAAAAAGACAGGGTCGCTGCTGCCTTCTGCAACCCGAGGCTGTCTGACTTCAAGACCTAGGAACTTGTTAACAAAGAGAAAAAGAACACTGCCTCCAGGTGGTAAGCCAAAGAAACGACCCAGGCGGACGGTAGTCCTGCCGCTGTGTAGCCTGGGCAGCAGCCCGCGGTTCTGGAGCAGGCCTGCGGCCGAGGCCCTGGACGACGCCGAGTCCTCCTACGAGGATTACTTTTCTCCTGGTAACCTCAAGGAAAGGGACTCGGAGAGGCTTCTGTCTGAGTCTCCACTGCCATCACAGCCTGTGCCCTTCCACGGCCAAAGTCTTTCCAAGAGGGAGAGAGCAAGCATCCTGGGGGTGTCTGACTTTTCCTGCATTGGTGAAGAACCCAGAGCAGCTGACTTTACCAGCTTTGTAGGGAAACTTAGCTTCAGTCAGAACTCCACAGACGAAGATGAAGACAGTGCAGCCTTAAATTGCCCGGCTTCCAAGGGCGCAGCTGCTCCAGAAAACTCCGGGGCTGACAGCCAGGCAGGCCTGCAGCAGGGACAAGACCCCGTGTGCCCACGCGGGGACAGCTCCTCTCACACTGACGACCCTGCGCGTCCCAGAGAACATGACGGCAGTCTGACTGCTTTGGAAGGACAGTTGACTGACCCACAAAGCACGCAGAAGGAAGGTGTCAGTTCCAGAACGCTGAACTCCTGTGTGCAGAGCGAGCATAAGCTAAATGTGATAGATGCGTGTCAGGTGGAGAAGTCTACAGAGGAGAAGGAAAACATGTCCAGAGGATATAGTGAAAGTATGTGACAAACCATTTCCATGAGTATGTGATAGCTTGTCTGTATGCCAGGTTTATCAGTCTTTCATAATTATTTTCCTCCCCACTTTTAATTTAAGAATGTGTATTTAATAATATTTTCAAGTAATAAAATTTCTTTAGGAGTGGAGGACCTGCCATCTGCAGCATTTCCTTGCTTACTGGGCAGTCTGTTTCGGGAAGTTGCTCTGTGCCTTTCCTTCTTTCAGGCCCGAAGCAGAAGCGGTTCCCTGCTGGGAATCATGGACTGGGGCATGCTGCTTTATCGTTCAGTCATGGGCTTTTCCATAATGTGATTATGGTGTAATGAGGCATACTAAATGGTGAGGCTGTTTAGAAAGAAAATTAAAACTAGCCTTTTCCCTCAGGTAAAAAGTTCATTTAGAGCAGGTCTCATTGGATTTCTTATTTACATCAAGGGTATCATTTAATCAGATTTGTTGCTATGTATAATTTAACTATAACCATAAGAGTTATACAGCAAATGACATAATGAATTATATTTAGTAATTTGTAGCAAAAATAGCAACAAGAAAAGCAATTTTTACTTTATAATCACAATTGGATTCCAGTATTCATAATTGAAGAAGTCTTGAAATTAGTCTGTGTTTACCCACAAGATTTGGTTAAAATTTAAGGGCACCCAAGTTTTGCTCTTGATCTTACCTGAGATTTTCATTTATAAGCTGATGATATGGGTGCAGTCCTGCCGACCATTGCCATGTCTGTGCCTTACAGTCGGTTCCATGCTGTTCTCACGAAAAGTTAACTAGTATGTTCAGAAGTGACTTTTATGTCTGAACTTTCTGGACATATGTGAAATTCTGCAAAAATCTACTTGTTGTATCAGTCCTAACATAGATTTTCAAAAGAAAAATCAAGTTAACTAAATACCAGAGAAGACATGCACAATTTCTAGAGCTTAGGAGCATTCTGTATTAAAGCCCAGATACTTGTTCTTTTTATTTAACGTTTTGGAAAATATTTAATGATACACACTTCTAACGTTTTTCACAATATTTAATGATGTGCAGATCCATAGGAAGTGGGGGAAAAACCTGACTTCAGAAGGATGACACACTCTGAGCTCCCAGGAGTTAATGGGATGGACAGAAGAGGAGACGGGGCGTTGGTTGGCTTAGCGAGGCCTGGAGGGTGGCTGAAGGTTGCTGTTGGCTGTTGCACAGCACTCTAGACTGGGCTGGTATGGTCCAGTTTGACACAGTTGGAAGCATTGTAACCTCCTAGAGTGTCACTTCCGAGTCATCTACTCCATTTCACTTCTTCCTAAAGGGATTGGAAATCAATTGGTTCCAAGAGGAGAAAAGACTTGTGCAGCCTAAATAATCCTTTTGTTTTATTATATGTAAGTTAAGGTCAATCATGTTTCCGAGTCTCCTGCCAGGCCCCTGTGTGCTCAGTCCTCGGGGTTAACGGGCCTCTGCGCGAGCAGAGCTGGAGCAGTGAGACTGTGTGCGTCGGGGCATGTCTCTCCAGGCCTTTCTGATTAAATAAAAGCTGCGTTCAGCTCAATTTCACTTCCTGTTCATATAAAGAATTTAATAAAGTATTCAAGAATAAGCTTCTAAGAGATTCACTAATGAATATTAACAAAAGCTAAAAGGGAAATTTAATGTTGTTTTTAAACAATTTTCAAGTCATGGCTTTGTGTTTTTAAGTTAAAATTTTATAGCAGTACACATCTGTCATAACAAAGATTGCTGATATGATTAAACTTTTTCAAGTTTTCAAAAGTGAATTAATAGCTGTTGAAAGTGGTGCATCTTGTATTCCAGGCCCTTACCTGCTTGGTGAGATGGAGGATGAAGTGACATGCCCCTTTCTTATAATAAACTGCCTGAGGAACAGAGATGGTAAAGGAATGTGCAACATGGAATTATCTAGTGAGAAGCACGTCAAGAGGGGAAGTGGCAGGAGGTTAGGTGAAACAGCAAGGGTAGGGCACTCTGAGGAGTGCCGTCCAGCCACATGCCTGGGGAGGTGGCTGTAGAAGGGAGCCGTGGTGCCGTTTGCCAGAATATGTCCCAGTCCAAAACAACAGCAAGGTTGAATGCCCTGAGTGGAGAAATGTTTGCACAGCAACACGGATGCCTGGCCCATGCAGTAACAACTTACTGAACTAAATGAGGGCTGGTAAGATAGGAGGCTGGAGGGGTGGCATTGGGAACTCCAGCATCCCCTGTCTGAGTCTTGGCTGCTCTGCTACAAAGCGGGCTGCCTGCTAATGTGCCCGGGAAGGTAGGAGGGCATTGCTTGGAAATTGGGCCCCGCCACCTGTGTGGGAGGCATGGGCCATTATGGTCCAGCAGATGGAACGTCTGGCTGGCTCTGTCTCCTCACTCTTTCATTCTACATTTCAAGTAAATCTTTAGAAAGAAAGGAAATTGGAAAGAGGGCCAGAAATCGGCATGGTAGGGCTGTGAATTGCTGCCAAAATGTGCCGTTGTTTTTGTTTCTCGTTGTGATGAGCAGCCATTGGGGATTTGAGCAGGAGAATAACCAGTTCTGCTTTGTGTTTTAAATGTAACCTTGGATACTTTATCGAAAACAAACTGTGGCTTACAGTATTTATTTGCTAAAAGCAATCATTGGCAACAGTTCTTTTTTAGACTGTACATGGGTGTGCAACATAAAAAAGCAGGTCGATGCTTTCTGAAAATGTGGATTTTTTTTGTACCCAGAATTATATTACTGGCTTAACATGTACTTTCCCCCTGCCTCTCAGTGTGTCTGATATGTTTCTGTATTGATATCAGTAATCTTTAGTGTTTAATGCAAGAGTCAGCAAAATTTTCTGTAGTGGGTCACAGTTAATATATATGTAGTTAATGTGGTTAATTGATGAAAGGTGATTTTGTGAAATCTTTTAGTACTCAAAATGTTAAAAAAAAAAAAAAAATCCAGTGCATTCTTTCATAATGATGCCTACGAATGAGAGTAGATTTACCTTTTTGAATGGGAAGAATAAACACATCTCCTAAGTGGGAGTTCAAGTGCTGAAATGACATGTTGACTGTCTTGATACTGCCGATTCAGCCATTCAACCACCTGAACTCGGTTTGTGTTGCGAAGTATCTAAAGCACGTTGGTTGTTCTGGCCCAGTGTACAGTGTGGTCCTGCTTGCCTCGTAGTACTGCAGAGGCCCAAGGTCCCATGGATACCATGCGGTCACCCGTACGGGCCCATCCAGTCCTGTCCACCCATTGCGCAGAGATTTTCCTCATTCTGCATGATGAAGTGTCACACATGCACGTGTGTTGTGAGCTTACCTATCCAACCATCACAATCTTTGTCACAGATGGTTGTCACCAATTTCTGAATGTCAGTGTTGGTTAGTCATGGGTCAGTCATTGGTGTTCCAGTTCTAACATCTTTTACTGGAGACAAATTTCAAAGACAGATGTCTACTAAACACTTGTGTAGGCAGTCAGAGGAAGGCCCATGTGTCGTGGCCCCACCCTCTTGGATGTAGGGTTGACTGCCTGTAACTTGCCTGAGGTTAACTGGACGCAGGTTACTGTAAACCCGGGTGAGCGTCCGGATCCAGGGCCGTTTAGTGATCAGTTCTGGTATAGCCCCGTGGATCCCAGCTAAAGCCTACAGATTTTTGTGCCCTGTTAAGCCAAACCATTTTTTCTAGTCCTAATTCAGCTAGTGAAAGACTGTTTCAGATGTACATTCCGCTGATTACCAAGCAGATGATGTCATCCGGTAGATGATGTCATCCATTAAGGTCATGTGTTCCTGTGCTGAGCTGAAGGGTTTGTGCTCACTGAGAGCTGCTGGAGCATGGTGAGGGAATGGGTACCTCAGGACACCTCAGACAGTTCATGGGAAAACGGAAGCTGTTTATTTTGGTACCAGTAAATTTCAAGCCTTTGGGGTAGACTTTGCATAAAAGTTCATTTGTCTTGAGCTTTTTATACGTCCCATGCATGCATGGATTTTATAGATTTGTGAAGTGCCCATTAGGTCCATGCCGAAGTGTTTTAAGCTATGTTCCAAGCTTTTACAAGCCGATGGTGTTTTCTCGTGGCTTGGACATCTGGTGGAAGTGACAGGGAGCTGTTCCTGTGCTGACTTGTGTTGGTTGGCGGCCACTACCTGCAGCTCCAGATGGGGAGGGTCCCAGGATTGCCCAAGGCTTTGAAGGAAAGTGTCTGGTGTGTGTCAAGATGCCATCTATTTTGGTTCCAAACGGGGCCAAAGTGCTATAATAATTGTAAAGGACATGCCTTATATATTTTCTAATTCATAATCCTAAAGCATAAAATTTTGTGCTGATAATCTGTCTGGACTGCAACACTATGAGATAACTTGGAAATCCTGATGTTTTGATCCATTCTCACTGAAGTTATCAAAGGCAGTGTCATTGTCAAAATGGTGTCCATGAACAATGCTTTCTGTGTACTTCGTATGAACTAAGCCCATTACCATGTGGCCTTTGGATAATTTTATTTGATGGCGAATATTTTATGGATTGTGAATACCTTAAGGAGTATGCATTAGGATAAGAATATTTATTGTACGTTGGGGCAATTTGAGGAAACTTTGAGTGTCCTGGGAGGAGTGTTCTCTGTCATCGTTCCCATAGCCCTTGCTACCAGGAGAGCAGGCAGTCCGAACTCCCTGGTGAGAACTTGGAAAGCTATTTGCCATTTATTCTTTTCTCATTAAGCAGATGCTTACTCTGCATCTGCTGTGTGTGAGGTACTCGGGCAGACAAAAGGGATGGTTCCTCACAGCCTTGTCCCTCCCCCTGAGGTTCCTAAGCAATTAGGGGCAAACAGTGAAAGCAGTTCAGACAAGACCCAGTGGGAGAGTTACACAGTATCAAAACTTGCTTAATTTGCTATGTGTGGTTAGTCAGCCTAATTTTCTATAGCAAAGGCCATATTTTTATTATCCTTACAATGATAAAAGTATGCGTATCTATTGAAGATCATTAAATTTTGCTTTCTTTGTTTTTAACAGGTGAGTGTAATTGTCTCATGGCAGGTGTTTTCTGTTTTGAGGATTTATATATTTGAAAAGTAGAGGTGCAGAGAGAACTTCTTTCACTTGTCATTCCGCGAATGGCCGCAGCGGCCCAAGCGGGGCTAGCTGAAACTGGAGCCTGACTTTCATCCAGTCTTTGCATGTAGGTAGCAGGGACCAAGCCCTTGGGCCGTTCTCCACTGCTTTCCCAGGCATGTTGGCATGAAACTGGTTCGGAAATGGAAGCCCAGGACTGGAACTGGCTCTCAGATGAGATCCTGACGTTGCTGGCAGCACCCTAATGTGCTGTGCCACAACACTAGCCCACTTGGAGTCTGTGAAAAACTTGTGTGTATCCCACTAGTGTGTAGGGTGTTGTTTTCGGGTGTATTTTAAAGTTCTATCTTCAGATTTTGCATTATAGCTTGTGCTTACATAATTCATTCCTCAGATTTAAGGAATTGAGTTAATAGTAAAATGTATGCATGTTAGACTTGATATTTTGGGGAAGCTTTGCTGATGTGATGAAGTTATTATTTCATTTAATAAAAGGTGTAATTATTTAGAAGGCAGAGTTAGAGAGATCCAGCCACATGGCTTAACTGGGCGGGGCTGGGCCAGACCGAAGGCGGTGCCAGGAGCTGCGTTCTTTCACATGACTCTGAGGCCTGAAGTATTAGATAATCCTCTATCGCGGTCCCAGGCACATTGCAGGGAGCCATACAAAAGTGGAGCAGCTCGGTCTCAAACCACTGCCCGTGTGGGATGTCTGTCTCGCAGGTAGAAATTTAACCTACTGTGCCACAACACTGGCCTTCAGAAGGGTTACCAGTGTTTTGCATTTTTATTTGAAAATCGGAGGATGACCTCACATCTGTTGGGTCACTCCCCAAATGCCTACTTTATCCAGAGCTGGGCCAGACTAAAGGCAGGTGCTGGAACTTACCTGGTCTTTGATGTGAATGACAGGCACCTGAGTGTTTGAAACATCACTTCTGTGTCTTAGGTGTGCAGTAATTACTGCTGAGATCGGAAGCGGAGCTTGGGCTGATGGTAGCTATCCTGACGTCTAAACCATCATGCCAGATGCTCGCCCCTTCAGAAGCCTTTAAAGCCCCAGCTATTCAATTCTCGCAGATTGTCCTGTGCCAGTGCTTTTAAACTGTTGTCATTACCAGTATTATTAGCGTAATTATTGGAAGTAACAGACTTTGCTTGGAGATGGATGTTGGAACGCAGAGCTTCTTAGACCCTGCGGTGTTGTGGGCGAAGCGTGGAGGAGTGCCAGGTTCTCCTTCAGGTTCTCAGCGTGCATTTGCATAGCTTACCTAGCTTGGGACTCTACCGCACTGCTGTCCTCTAGTGAATATTAACTAATTCCTTTTAGTCTTTGGCTTTAAAAGTGGCAAGTCTTTCTAATGATAGATGGCTAGGAGTACTCAGCATTTTTAAGAAATCTATGAGAAAATTAATACATTACTGATAACTTGATACTTACAAAGGTGAGTAGAATTGACAAACTTAGAACAAAATGTCAACTGCGTTATACCCTTTGCATGGCTGCTTGCTCACCTGCTCCTGTCCGGGTGTCTCAGTCTCCCTGAACGAGCTTATTGTGGTGGGAGGAGCATCTGGGACTGAGAGAAGCAGAGGCGGGAGCGAGGTGGTGTGGGGGTCAGTATGACTGCTGTCCAGTTCTCGTGGGATCCTGTCATGGGACTCGGAGCAGATGGTTGGTTGGTGGGTTGGAACCTGATCTTAAAATATATTTTAGGCCAGATTACAAATAATTCAGAGTCAAGAAAATATTAGGCATCATTTTGCGTTTTTCTTTTTTTCTTTTTACCCTTTTGGTTAAATCAGCTTGCCCAAACTTCCTGTTCTCTGATTTGTGTAACCAATGTTCGTGATAGGGTTTGATGTTAAATGTTTAAGGACTCTGGTGTCATTTTTGTTTGGTGATGTATGTATTTTCAGCAGCATTTTGTGTGGGGTTGTAGGCAGGATGAGTTCTGCACGTCCTTTGGGCAGTAGGCCTGATCACCATTTCGATTGGGCAGTGAGGCGGGGGCAGCGGAGTGTGCCACGTGGCTAAGCATTGTTTGACCGTGGTTGTGACTGGGGCCTCCCGGCTGTTGCCAGTGCATCATGTACGGGCACGTGTTTTTGTTGCATCATCACACTGGCAGGCAGAATTGTTCCTAAGCATTGAGTTAAATGAACTAGTTGGGATACTGAAGTGTATAACTCAAAGTTTTGAATAGATCTCCAAGTTCATGTAGCATACCTGTGCTTTGCCTTTTGCCATCTTGCATAGTTAAATTTTGTGTTTAGTAGTTGTGTTCATTTTCAGGTCATGCAATACTCTAACCTTGGATTCACTTGGGTTTCAGGTGTTAATGGGACAACAAGACATGATCGTGTAGGTCCCTCATCCTGTGTAGGCTCTGAGCTCATCAGACCTCAGGAGGAGTTGAAGACAAGTGGCAAAGGCAAGAAGGTCAGTGTGGAAACATGTTAGCCTTTTAAAAGCTGCTGCACACACGGAGTGTGTGACTCTGGGCCAAGAAAACAAAATAGTGTTCCTTATTTGTGTTTAACTTTAAAAATTGGTTATGGGTGAAGTTGGAAAACTGAGTAGAGAACTGGTCGGCTGTTGCAGTCAGGACAGAGTGGCTACTAGCAGAATTCACTCTCCTGTTGCCTTCCTGGTGCAGCTGCTGGCCTCTGAGTCCCTGCTGTGTCTCGGCCTGAGAATGGTGGCTGTGCCAGTGTTTGTTGCCATTTACTGGTAGGAAGTGAAGGATCAGCAAGGTTAGACCTCCAGCCACCAAGTGGAAGCTTTCTGTACTAACGCTTGGGGGCACACTTCCCTTTGTGGTTTCGGCTTTAAAACAGCCCTTTCTCTCAACAGCAATGAAAATTCTCTTATCCCAGGGTATGCTCACTTGAATAACATAGCAACGATTTGGGATGTTTTTGGTTCTGCAACATTTCCTACATTGTTTAAATTCAAAATTTACCAATACTATCTTGTGTCTCGTTTTCATGAAGCCATGTAGTGGGACCGGGGCTCAAGATGCTGAGATAAAACTAGTGCTAATCACTTCTCGGCCTTTCAGCTAAGATCAAGTGTAAAACAAGTGCTGGGGATCAAGAAGTGGAAGGAACGACAGTTTCTATAAACGGAGACGAGAGCCGAGCTGGGCACAGCCTGGGGCAGGAGCTGCTGGGCCTCACTCCCGCGCTCGCGGTTAGGTACACAGAGTGCGAGAGCATCTGCTGTCCCGTAGAAACATGCTAGATGTCTTTCTGGGGCTTTCTGTTTTGTCTTACTGGAAATGAAGCACAGACTGGAAAGCAGCTGAGCTAAAGACTGCAGGGAGAGAAATGGTCTGTAGTGCAAACGACTCCGGGCAGGCTGACCGGGGCTGCTGGGCCCTCTTGAGAACTCTGTTGGTGGCTGCAGCCGCGTCCCTGCTTTGTTTCCCTGTTTGTAGTCTTGCATGTTGCCACGTGGCTCCTTCTTTGGGTAGGAAGGATAAAGGCCTCTGTGAGGAGCATCGAGATACTCCATGCTCAGCGCGTGTCTCTGCTCGCTCTGTGACTGCCTGTCCACAGCGCTGCCTAAGACTCTCCCGTTTGCCGTTCTGGAGTGTCTGCTTGCTGCCCTCTGTGGTTTTCTTCTTGGCAGAGCAGACATGTCTGTTGTATCTCTGTTATTCAGAAATTATAACACCTGCCGTTTAGAAGTGTTCAGTAAGCTTTGATTGTGGAGTGACTTGTCAGCACAGTGCTGCTTCATCCTGACCGAGCCCAAGCATGATGTCTGTTCCAGCATTGTGGTATGGTAGGTGAAGCTGCCTCTTGCAACGCCGGCATCCCATATGGGCACTGCTTTGAGTCCCGGCCTCTGTACTTCTGACCCAGCTCCCTGCTAATGTGCCTGGGAGGGCAGTAGATGGCCACCTGAGTGGCTGGGCTCCACACCGGTGTTGGAAGGCTGATGAGGTTTCAAGATCCTGGCTTCAGCTGACCCATCCCTGTCCGTGGTAGCAGATTGAGGAATCTCTCCCCACCTCCCACCTTCTCTCTCTCCTCCTTACTCTCCTTCCTTTCTTTCCTCCCCCTCTCCTTCACTCCTTCCCCTTTCCCCTATAACTATACCTTTGAAATAAGTAAATAAATGTGTTTTTGCTTTTTAAAGCATGAAATTTGACTTTTTCATTGGTTCGCAGTGGGAATTATGTTTCTGACACCGGCCTGCCTGGGAATAGGCCTGGGCTTCCTGGGTGGGGGTGGCAGTGCTGTGGATCAGTACAACACAGGTGAGCTGTGCTGCCGTGCTTATGCATATTAGCAAAAAACAGCTCAGTGAGCAACGAGCACAGGATAGTACTTACCTTTGAATATCTCCCTCGCTTGGTTCTTAAAGAGCTGGCTTGCTACGCAGACTGCCTGGCCCACAGGAGGCCTGCTGCCGGCAGGGAGGCAGCTCTCGCAGCAGGTACTGTGTCTTGTCAGCAGAGGGCGTGAGACCTGGATTTTCCTCCCATCCCTGCCTTGCTTCCAGGTGTTTCTTACTTGTCCACCATACCGTCTTCTCTAGAGAATCCAGCGCTCTCCAGGGCCCGTCAGCCAGGTTGCACTTGAAATCGCCTGGAATAAAAATGAGTCAGACACACTGATCCCTGGCTCACATCCCACACTTCCAAAAGTTGACCCTGGCCAATAGGACTTTAAGAGCAAAATAAACTTAGGGGCTGATTCTGATGTGCAGCAAAGGTGATCATCCACTGCTTTCGGGACTGAAGTATAATTTTTTTGTTTGCTTTTTAAAGACTCATTTATTTTTTATTGCATAGTCAGATAAACAGAAAAGAGGAGAGACAGAGAGGAAGATCCTCCGCCCAATGATCCACTCCCCAAGGGACTGCAATGACCAGTGCTGCGCCGATCCGAAGCCAGGAGCCAGGAACCTCCTCCAGGTCTCCCACCACACAGGCTCAGGGTCCCAAGGCTTTGGGACGTCCTCGACTGCTTTCCCAGGCCACAAGCAGGGAGCTGGATGGGAAGCGGAGCTGCTGGGACTTGAACCAGCACTCATATGGGATCCCGGAGCGTTCAAGGCGAGAACTTTAGCCACCATACTGGGCCCTAAAATGTAATGTTAAGAAATAGTTTATCCTGGAAGAAATGTTTGTTTCCCCAAACTCCTTATAAACCAGTTATTTCATTTTTTTTAAAGACTTTAAAAGTGAAAATAAAAATCCAGATTTGTTTGCTTACAGATTCAGTATTTTAAAAGGACATGGGGGAAAAAAAGGTTTATTTTTCTTTGAAAGGCAGAGTTACAGAGAGAATTGGAGACAGAAAGTCCTCTGCTGGTTCACTCCCCAGATGACCACCACAGCTAAAGCTGAGCTGGTCTGACACCAGGAGCCAGGAGCTTCTTCAGGTCTCCCAAATGGGTGCAGGCGCCCAAGGCTGAGAGCTGTCCTCTGCTGCTTCCCCAGGCCACAGGAAGGGGCTAGATCGTAAGTGGAACAGCTGGGACGTGAACTGGCACCAGTGTGAGGTACAGGTGCCACAGGAAGTGGCTTTGGTTAGCTGCACCACCCACCGACCCCAAAAACAAAAATGTACGGAACAATGGAGAGAGATCATGGCTTAGCACTTAAGAAGTTGAAAGATGAATTATACGTATTCCTTAAAACACAATCTTAGATCTCAAAGCAGAAAAGCAGCAAAGCTTCCTGATCCTTGAGAAGGAGCTCATGTGTACATCTTATGTGCACACAAACACTAGATTAAATTCCCCAGTATTGAACACCCAGAAGGATTAGAAGCATTCACTTGGTGAGTTAAAGGGGTTTGACCTATAACTTACAAATACAATGTTGGCTGTGTTAATACGGCTGAGAGGTTGTTTTGCTCATCTTCTTAGCAAATGGTTCTTTCTTGTTTCAATTTGTACTTTTTTTTGGCTTCAAATCCAATTATTTTTGCTGTGACTTTTACCGTTTTCTGTGATTCATGAATAGATCATTTCTGTGAGACACTCTGATGATTTCTAAGTACCTGATGTCGGTGTCCTTTCAACACTGCTTCTGCGTCTCGTGAGCGTTCACGTTCTTGTTTCTTGTCGTTTCCTCAGCACCACATGGGTCATGCAGTAGCATCAATTTGTACAAGGCTTTTGATTTTCCTTTCCATCACTTCAGCGATGCATTAATCATTCTGTAGCATCTTGTTTAACTTCAGGTTGATGTTGTGGATTGTGTTTTCCGGCTCAAGGGGATGTGTATCAGAAGTGTAGCAGAGACTGACATGTCCAGCTGTGAAGACGTGGTGCAGTGTGCATCTCTGCATCCAGACCAAAGGAGGACTCCCAGGGAAACTTGAAAATATCCTGACAGTAGGATGCTGGACTCTCTGCCACGGTCCATGCTGCAGTGTCGGGAAACACTTCAATAGCAGAATGATGGACTTGTGTCTACTCATGAAGACCATGTCCATGTGTTGATTGTCCTTTGTTTTACAGCTGTCCATCAAAGTAAACTGTCCCTGCCTGTCCGCATTCCTCCTGAAGGATTGCTAAGTGCCTTCAGTGAAAGCAGATATTCCCAAATGTGTCCCTCCCTGGGTTTATTGGCCACCGTCTCGCGTGGGTTAGGAGGAGGAGGGCAGGGAGCTGGTTTGAGATGAGTGCTCATGCTGCTGGTGGGAGTCTGTTGTGGGTGTGGGGTGCAGCCATCTCTTCAGACCCTTCTGGAACCGTGCCCTGCCTTCCCATCAGCAGGCAGGGCTCTGCATGTTACGGTTCCCAAAGCTCACTGGGGCCTTGCTGCCTTGGTCTCGCCTGCCAAGTGCTTTCATCACTTCCAACATCATCAGAACCATCCGACAAGAACCAGGATTCAACCGTGGGCCTTTATGAGTTGGGAGCCTGTGCTCGCAGCTGTTGTTTATTCAGCGCTCTGTCCTCCCCAGAGCAAGTTTTCTATGTCTCAGGTGCATGGAGATGCTGGAAAGAAAACATTTTACAGAGTGCCAGCTCTGTACTGTGAGAGAGCCAGTGGGAATTGCAACTAACTGGAGTCTGACTTCCAGGAGGGCGAAGTGCTGTGATGGAAGGTTCCCTGTGCTCTGGCCAGCAGGAGAGAAAGCTGCTGCACAGGTGCAGTCTGGGAGGGCCAGCCGTGGGCGTGGAAGAAATGGGTGGATGATGAAGCCTTCTTGAAGAAGGAAGATGGGCAAGTCGAGCCACGCTTTGGTTAAAGTAGATAATTTTGCAAGCTGTTTGTCCTCCCAAGAAGTAGATTGTGGAATGAGAGGTTCGCTAGGATAACCAGGAACTCTAATATTTTGTCAAAATGGGTTTACAGTTTGCAGTTCTAGGATTTGGGCTGTCGCCATTAGATGATACCTTTGGCTGGTATTGTACACTCTTGTGGTTTTGATTTTAAATTTAGTCTCTAACTGAGATTGTCAAATGGC